TACTATACGGATGTCGATTGGCCTAGAAAATATACATAGATAAATAGAGAACTCAAGCAAACAAACAAAATAGAAACAAGCATAAGGATGTCTGTGTCTAGCCCAGCCATACACATATATAGACATGTTAAAAAAGAAGCTGAAGGTCTGACTCCATAGTATTGGTGTACGGTAATAGTTAAGCGAAGAAAGAAAAAAAAACAAATAATGCCTATATATTCTGAATCGAATAACTATATATGTATATTTTGGTAGCTTTAATCAATCAACGATACTCATCACCTGTATAAAAGTAAATACGCGTCCTTCATCAACATATAATGGTATGCTATTTCGGATATATATATATATATATAAGCATAAAAAGAAAAATCAATTACAATATAGAAATGAAAATAAAAATTTAAATAACATAGAGATTACACTTTTAATCTTATTGAATCTCCTACGTGAAGGATTGTGTTATATGCATATATATGTGAAATAAAAACAAGCTAGATATCTTATTGGCAAAGTTAAAAAAAACAAGAAAAAAACATCATTACTTTTTGTGTTTTATGAAACAATAATGATATATATCGTTCATCATTTAATCTTTTTCTTTGATATTTCATGAGTGATAAAATTTTCAATTCATCAAGTTCTATATGTGCATAGATATATTCTCATAAGTTTATTTACACACACACAACAAAAAAAAGAGAAAAAGAAAAAAACTCACATGTTCATGGAAGAAGTAATCAACGTCTTCTTAATAAAACACACTTATAGATACTTGTGAGTTCAAATTGTTTGTATATCGAAACTTCTTCTCTTGAAGAAATGCAATGAATCTCTTAAAGATGGTGTGAAACCACAATCTTTCTCAATAGTACTTTGTATCCATATGCATACTGTTAATCATAATTCTACGCTTTGTTCACTCAATGCCAACTTAAAGGAGACTACTAATTTTTTTTTTCGAATTCTTATATAATCCTTGAGATGTAAAGGCATTTATGAACAATAATTATTGAATTGTTACTATATTACATAGTGTCAATGGCAGATCTAGTTAAATGGATGGGAGTACAGAAAAAATTGAACTTACAAAAAAATAAAAACATAAACTATATTATAAGTTCAAATTGTATATAGACAAAAAAGTTTTCTAGAAAAAGGATTTACATATTATTCTTATTCTCTTTTGATGCATACATATGATTTCTAGAAACTATTTACAATTATGTTTAGCAGTAAAACAAAATCTTGATAATTTGTAAGATAGAATGTGTAATATGATTACATCCGAGGTCGCGAAAACGAATGAGGAGGGGTCTACATCTCCGTCCATAATCGGAAATTATTCATAATTATCCAAACACCCTAGCGTACCTTCTGAATTACATTAGTCACGTATAAAAAGTGATAAGTAAGTTACAAGTGAAGTTTTAAAGCAAATATTCCTATTTGAGACTTAATTGAAAGCATTATGATGTTATTCGATCGACATTAGAAATAGATACGTCTTTCAATCATTATATTAAAGTTAGAATATTTTTTTTTCTCTATACTTCAAATATACTCAAAAAGATGCAATCTTCTTTTAAATTGTTATCTTGTTTTAATACGATACATGCGAAGGTCATTATGCAATTATAGTTTTATTATTAAATTTATCTCGTTGATCTCAGCTTTCTATCCTTGATAATGTCAAAATAATTTTCGATTATTTACAAATAAACATAATCATTCAGAAATCTTCTGTTTGTTATATTATCTGAAATTCTCTTATTATTTTTCTTTATATGCATTCATTTATCTAACTATGTTTGAAGCATCAATAACTTATTATTCATAAACCAATTGTCAGTAAATATAACGACAAAAAAAACAATTTGCCAACTATTCGTTGTATTTGTTTGAATCTATTTATTCATGTCAACATTAGTGTTGTTTATATACAAATAATTTAAATCGAATTAATTTATTTAATTAAGATTTTTTTTTTAAATTTAGGTATAAATTAGACATATATTAAATTTTAATATAATTCTAACTAATCGAGTTATATTGTTATAACCTTGAAGAATAACTCTACAATTTTTCTACTGTCTATTTTGTCTAGTACATTTTTTGTGCGTGTAAACTATTTATGTTCTTTGTGTCTGGCTCGTAATTTTCATTTGATTTAATGATCAAAGATACTTCAAATTTATTTGAAAAATATTTTCTAAATAAAACCTCACACATATCTTGTTTTACTACACTCAGACCAATTGTTTTACTAATCCAGTAAATGACATATAGATTAACAAGGTTTTCTATACATACCTTGATGTCAAGGTTATTTCTACATGTCATATAACAAAATGTTGAAGTTGCATAAATGAAATTTTTACATTTTCAAACAATTACTCTTATCAAATAGCGTCAACAATCAATAAAATGAATGATTTTATTAATTTTTTCTTTTTAGTTAGTGACCCTCGAGCTTATATGATCGAATATTTTCTTTTACTGGTCTCCCAATTATTGGATGCAATTAACAAAAATAACAATGAATACTTTTTTTTTCTTTATTGTGAATTAAATGAGTAGAAAGAATGAGGGTCATTACATTAAGCATAACCAATGTCTCACATATCATCATCAGAAATATAATGATAGACAACACATTCATTTACCGCACAAGGAGTATTATTTATATATGATAGACTATTACCAGACAGACATTCTATTTCTGGTCGATTGCCTTTTAGAAGCTATTAACAATAGAAAAGAAAGAAAAAAAGACGCAATTTACAGATGTGAATAAAAAGAATATTTATTTTTTTATATGAATGTCGATTTATTGTAGTGAGAGCACAACCTTATACCCTTCTATCCTGTCAGCACGATTAACCGATGATTAAATTATAAGATAAACGAGTTTGCTCTTACCTTTTTTTTCTATATTTGCAATATACAAGGAGAAGAAAACGACAGCAAAGAAAAAAAAACAAAAAAAGAATACTCCGCGGCGGGGAATCGAACCCCGGTTTCCCGCGTGACAGGCGGGGATACTAACCACTATACTACCGCGGACGTTATTCATTTAATAAAAATGACAAATGATTTAAAACATTTTTCAATAATCTTAACTTATTAATCATATATATATATATATATAAATTTAAATTTTAGTTAACTTAATTGTTCAAACTATTTTACTTGATTAATATTAACATAAAAGACTTACATGCATTTTACAAGACAATATTGTTGTAATACTTCAAATGAACTTGTATTCGTTCAAAAGACAAGCATTTCTGTTGTATGTGTAATCTCGTATAGAAAAGAAAAAAACCAAGGAAATAATGTACGATCGACAAACATGTACAAACAATCAGCAGCAATGTCTGTTGATTTATGTACAAGTAGTCATTGAGCGCATCGTGAAACATGGGGCAACCACAAAATCTTTTCAGTTCATTGCGTTCTCTCTTTCCCTTCATTTCTCTCTCTCCCTTCATTTCTCTCTCTCTCTCTCTTTCTCTCACACATTCTTCAAATTGAAACATAAAAATCAACAAATTTCATTTGTGTCAAAAGAGAAATCAAAATGAATTAAGAAAAATATATTGGCCCTAGAAAGTAGAACATAAAACTAGAATAATAATAATAATAATAATAATACAAAACTCGTTACTGTTATTTATTTTTATAGTGATTATTGATTTTGTTACTAAAAAAATATATATATAGAAGAAAACAGAATTCTTATAGATATATTTATTTGTATTAAAATATGAATCTACTCAATGTGAATGAATGTAAAGCAGCATTTTATGTCGATGTTTATATCTTAACTATTCTAAATGATAGAAATAATATTATGATCATTATCTGTTGAGCGTTGTCTATTCATGTGTTATTGATAAGTATCAATAGAACATATCAATCAAATTGATTTGTTATATTCGCTTGTTAAGTTTTACGTTGAATTATAAAAGAAAAAAAAAAACGAAAGAATATAGATATATATATTCAAGGATAACTTCCGTATTTAATAGAGCGAAATGTTTTATGTTGGTTTGATGAAAACTGAAGTTTGGTATATGTATTTCTTCTTATGAAAAAAAGAAATTTCTCAAGTGTAAAGGTTCAATATTCTCTCGAGGCAAATACTATTGGTAGCATTTAGGTAGTTAAATATTTTATGAAAAAAAAAAAAAAAAGTAAAAATAATATAACATGATCAATGACAAGAGAAATATTCATCGAACTACTAAGACAACAGATTATTTCTTATATTGAACATAATATGAAATGGCAATGTAATCAAAACTTTTTTATTTATATTATTCGTAGGAAAAATATTATCATTCAATCGTAAGGATAGAAAAAAAAATCGAATACGATTGTTTTATTTCAAAACAAAACTTGCATATTTCTATTTATTTTAAATAAAATCTTATGACTATTCACTATTATTTTTCTTTCTAAAAGTAATAAAAAATAAACAAATTCAAATAAAAAAAAAGGTTTTACGTTTATATCTGCCGGGCATACTTTATTATTTCAATAAAATACAGAATATTCCTTTTTACAAAGTCAACGAATTTCAAACTGAGGAAATCATGAATATAATACAATATATGTCTAGAAATGATCAAAAAGAAAACCATACCCAACTAGTGTCATCATACTGTATGAACATTGGATATCAACTGTTCAATTTTATTTATTTTGTTTTTTGTGAAACATGTTCTAAACGGAATGTTGAACTATATAGGGTAGAAATTTGCACTTATTCTCGACTCACCTTCCCCCCATAGACCATGACACATATTACCACGAAAATGTCACAGACCATGACAGACACTTTAGCAACACGTCCCTGCGTCATATACCGTGACAGACATTGACACATTTTAATCCTACAGGAATTGCGCTAACAGTTTCTTTTTTTTTTATTACAACAGTTGTTTAAGAAAAAACCTTCAACAAAAAACAAACTTTTGTTTATTTTTTTTTTATTATTTCAAAGTATTTAAAACATCTGAACTGCATTCTTTTGAATCTTGATCTTTTCTAACTGTTAATAATTGTTTAAGTATTTTTTCTAAATTAATTTCTTTTTCTAAAACTTGTTTAGCTTGTGTAATTAACATGTTAAGAATATCAAGTAATTTACCAAGTTCAACAATACGTTGATGACTTAATAAATATTCATTATGATCATCATCTTCATTTTGATTTTTTGATATTGAATCTTTTGAATAATTATCAATAATTTCATTTTCAATTATATTTGATTTTAACCATTTTATACTTGGTAATGTTGATTCAATATAAATAAGTTCACGAATTTGATAAGCATCTAGAAAAAATAAAGTATAAAATAAATAAATAAAAAAACAAAAGAAGAGATTTTATATTTTTTTGTAAGTAAATCTTACTTGCTTTTGCTCGTGCATTTTCCATACAAATATGTATATCACCAATAGTTAAACCTAATAAAAGATTCATAAAAGCAATTGTCATTATAATAATAAATGGTATAAAAAGTAATGCTGCTGTTATAAATGTTGGTTTAGAAAAAAATAATGTTTCATAATTAAATTCTCCAATAAGCATTACCGATAATTTATGCATCGATACAATAAGAGATAAAAATGCTGAATGATTAAAAAAAATCATTCGTATTGCTATTGTAAATGCAATAAGTAATGGTAAAATAACAAATGTTAATGAAATAAAATTAATTAATATTGATTGTAACATAACAATAAAATTTCCAATAAATGGAACTGAACGTAATATTAATGCTATGTTAAACCATTGTAATAATATTGATAATGCTGCTAGTTGCCATTGCCAATAAATCATTTCATTAATTTTTCCATATGGTAAAAAAGCAATAATTGATGTTAGAAATGAAATCATGCCAAATAATTGTGCAAATGGTACACGTAAACCACGATAAAGTATTATTTCTAAAAGTGTTTTAAATAAATTTATTCCAGATAAAATAACAATAATCCATTGCATAGATAATATGAAATTTTTATTTAATGATAAAAAAGAATTTCTTGATGATTTTGTGTGTGGTGCAGGTACAATAAGAACATAGAATGTTAAACAAAGTAATAATAAAAATGTTAATATACGTGTTAAATAAAAAAATGGACGATATAATTTCCATTTACGTAACATAAGTTGCTGAGCTAATGGATGTTCAAGTAAAAAATGATGTTCACTATCAAGAGCAATTATAAATGGATGATTACGATAAAGTTGATGACTATATGCAGCATATAATTTACCATTATTCCTAATTAGATAAAGAAAAACAAGGATTGAAGAATTTTTTTCTATTAAAAATAGTTTCTTTTTTTTGTTAATCTTGAATGAGATTTATTCTAACAAGGCAACATTCCCCAAATTATCGGCTCCATTTATCTACATATTTTGCTCATATGTAGAGAATTACTATAGTAATATAAACTTCAAAAGATTCCTAGTCATGTTTATATTTAACCAAGATATCGATTTTTTTAATGGATTTCTCCTGCAGAAGTTCAGTTTGTGAAAAAAAAATCATATTGTGAAATGTTGTGGTGAAACTTCATACAGGGTGAAGGCCTTAGACTATCTCATATACAGTACTTTACCTTTAAATGCTATATAAGATACAAATATATTGAAATATTCATATCTGGATGATGCGATATATCACAATTGAGGAAACTTTACATATGAGATAGTCTAATCGAGGTCATCATCTGTACAATGTTTCACGTCGGAATTTCAAAATGTGATTTGCTTTTTTCGAAAAACTGGACTTCTGCAGGAGAAACCTATAGAAAATTCGATGTCGTGCCAGATCAGAACATGAGCAAGAATTCCTTAGAGGTCCTATAGTGATCCGTACATATGGATAAAATATAGGTTTGGTTCTTTTTCTTTGACATTGTTTATTCAAATTTTATTATACTATTCATCTAATGACAAACAAACTTTTTTGCATATTGTTTCATGGAATTAAGAATTCATTGAATTCGAAAAATAAATTTTTTATTTTGTGAAGGCTTGTTCATATTGTGTTGTCAAATTATTTCATCATAGCCGTATCTCTTTCATTCTTAATTCGCTACCTATAAGTTTGGATTGGAGGTAGCAATATTTGTATTAAGTTAGTGATACCAGTGTCCTTCAATCTGGATATGTGTGGGAGTAGAGAAGCCCAATACTCACGTCTACACTCAACGGAAAGATACCCAAAATATGAAGGTTAAATGATCTGACCACCTGGAAATGTTCACTGATAAGAAGTAGGTGTTACCGAGTATTGGGTATGTCCTAGATTTCGAATTAGTTTTAGGTTAATCTATGATTTTGAACAAACTGACATTTTATTTGTACTTTGGTTTTTTAATAGAAAATTATAATTCCTAATAAAAAAAAAACTAATAATTCCCGTTTAATTTGTACTCGTATCAATTATGTATAAATCTTATAATTGAGATATTTATACTTACATAAAATAATCATCAATATACTTATATTTATATGTAGTTTTTTCAAATGTATTTCCATCAAGACCAATTTCATTTGTTGTTAATATTAATTTATCAAATGCATGTTTAGCACATTCCGGTATATATCGAATCATATCTCTTAATGGTGTTTGATGAAAATGTTGTTTTGTTTTTCTTATTGACATAAGCCAATATTCTATATGTGGATGTTCTAGAAGTGTATGAATAGTTTCAATTTGTCGATATTTAATAGCTATTTCTAATGGATTTTCTTCTTCTTTATTATTCTTATTATTATTTTCGTGATCTATTCCAATATCTTGAGAAAGTAAAAGACGAACAATATCAACATAACCATTTTGACAAGCAGTTATTAATGGTGATTGTCTTCTAGATAAAACAGATTGAAAATCAGCTAGATTTCTTGTTGAAGCTTTTATTAATAAATCGACGCATTCACTACGACCATTTTGTATAGCACTATGAAGTGCTAATTGTCCAAGATAATTTGGAAGTAAAATATCAACATCATATTTAAGAAGAATTTCTACACATAATTGATGACCATATTCAGCAGCTAAATGTAATGGAGTTTTTCCATCTTCATTTTGTGCATCAATATATAAATGTAAAGTTGGTGATAATTGTGAAATATTAATTGAATCAGAATTTGTTATTGTCATTGAATAACTACGACTATAGGCGGACATTAATTTATCAGATTTTTTTATATGTTCACTAAGTAATTCAATTAATTGTGGATGATTATTTCGAGCAGCTATATGAAATGCATTCATACGTTGTTTATCAAATGTATTCCAACGAATATATGGATGAATTAATAATAATGAACACATATCAATAGAACCTGTTTGAATAGCTATTAGAAATATTGTACGATTATCTCTTTTTGTTACTTGATCAAATATTTTTACTGATTGATCATTAATAGCAGATAATAAATATTCAACAATTGATAGTTGATTTTTTTCTACAGCAATCATTAATACATTCATATGATTATTATCAAGACTTGAAATATCAGCACCATATGTCATTAATTCATCGATAATATCAAGATGTGTTGTTACCGATAAAGCTGTTTTACCACGATGATCTTTTATTTCTAGTAGAGTTGATTGCGTAAGAGAAAGTAGTTCTTTAACAACAGGAAGTCGATTTGAAGCACTAGCTATATGAAGTGATGATTGATTGTATGAATTTAATATTAATGGATCAGCTTCATGATGATAAAGAAGATTAATCATCGATGGATCACAAAATTTTGCTAGAAAAAAACAAAGAAAAAATCTTTTCTCTATTGAAGTTATCTAATTTATTCAACATGATTTTATAGGGATAATTAAAATGATCTAATTTTATTTGATTATATGTTGAATAGTAATTACCTGCCATATGTAAAGCAGTTCCAGATGATTCTATTTGTTCATTAATCAATATTTTTAAAGTATCATTATTAAATTCATTAAGAATATATTCAACAGATTCAATATTTCCATGTTGTACTGCTAAATGTAAACATGTTGCTCCCATATTTGTTTTCATTTGAATAAAGTTTTGAAAATTTATTTCATATTTTGATTTAATTAATTTAATAATATTTAAATGTCCTTTAGCACATGCATAATGTAAGGGTGTCCATTTTTCAACATCAATTGCATTAATGTCTGCACCATGTTCAATTAAATAATCAACAATTGATAAATAACCTTCTTTACATGCTACATGTAATGGACGTATTTCTTGACGATCACGTGCCTAGATCAAATAAACATTTGAATATTTATAAATTGTTTGTTTGTTTTCTTTTTCAAAACTCACTTCAATATCTGCATTGGATGTTATTAATTGTTTAACACCAGCAAGATTATTACGAGCTACAGCATAATGAAGTGGTGTAAGAAGATATTTATCACGTGCATTAATATTTCCATTAACTTTGGCAAATAAATAAATTAATGGATGATCACTTTGAAGAATTTTATTTTTATATTCTTCTTGCCAAATTTTAGCTTCTTGAATCTGTATGATTAAAAATTATTTTTCAAAAATAAAACAAAAAAAAAACAAATTCAATAAATACTTTATCGCCAAAATTAATATCAATATTAAATTGTTTTTCTGATGTCGAATTATTCGATGAACGAAATGCTGAATGTATCGGTGTTCGATCATGTGCATCCTTAATATTAATACCTAATCTATTCAAATAGAATATTCATATATTTCCTTTCAATATAATCATTTTCTTCGACTGACTCAAATTCAATATTAGATAAAAGAATAAGACAAATATTCAATTGTTGATAACGTGCAGCATGATGTAATGGCGAAAGACCGGTTTCTAAATCAATTCGATCAGCTATTTCAGATGCATGTTTACGACAACTTAATGTTTGTCTACTATATTCAACAAAATCATCTAAACCAATAATATCACCTTCACGACATATCTATAAGAAAAAAATGTAATATTCGAAAAATCGAATACTTTAAATTCTTACTTCACTAAGTCTACTAGTATTCCATTCTAAACTTTTTGGAATAGCTGGTTGTATTTGTTTACCTCCATCAGATTGATTATCTGTTAACGGAGCCAATTCAGTAATTATTATATCATTTTCATGTACTGATGAATTTGATAGCAGCTGCTGTTGATTTGCATGTTCGTCCATTTTTTGTCATCACATTAAAAATAAAAATGATCACTCTTTTTTTTTTCTTTTTCTTTCTGTTAGATTCTCCTCATGCAATAGGTAAAACTGCATCGTGGTCGGTTTTTTTTCTCTTTATCGCATTCTTTTTTTTCATTTTGCTGGAAATATATATGTACTTTATAGGACGAAGAAAAATCGTGGTTCTTTTGTATTGATGCGCTCATCAAAGAGAGTAAATGTGTAAAAAAAAATAAAAGAAAAAAGAAAAGAGAACAAGGAAAGGTCTTGAATTCTTTCCTTTTTTTTTATTTCACTTATAAATATTGACATCGTTCATTTATAATGAATTTATGTTCGAGGAAAAGCTAGCATGTAGTCGAAAAATATCATTATCAAATCGAATATAGAAATAAGTACAGATGTATTTTGTGAACAAAAAAAAACAACAGAAAATGTGACTTTATCATGAAATATTTCGCATCTAGAACCCGGTGGAGTGGTTCCTGATCGAATCATGTCCGAGTTCGAAAATTTTGACTCAACAAGCTCTATTCACATCTAATATGGATTATTTTAGATATCCATAAAAGGGTAGGGTATTTGAAGAGAGTATAAGATTGTGTTATATTTTGTTTGTAACTCAAAAATGGAGAATTCTGACGAAAAAATATATATTTGATATTATTATTACACAAATTGAAAAACTAAAGAAATATGCAGGTTCATAACTGGCTAAATCTTAACTTTTGTTGACATCGTTTAATATTCTAATTTTTAATCTATTGAATATCAATGGTAAATGATTTTAATAAAAGCTTATTTTAATAAAAGCTTAAAGTATTCAAGACAGAGTATTATATGTGAAATGAAATTAGCATTATTTGACAAATCTATCTGAGTGTAGGAAAAAAGACTAGAGCAAAAATTTTCATTGTATTGATTCGTTAAAAGTCAATGTCAAAAGATAAGAAGTTGTGTATGAAGAAAGTAGGCCAAATTTCTAAATTTTAATACATTTTTTTTCTTTCAAGAACTTCTCTTCAAACAAAACGATCAATAATATTAATATGCAATGTTCTTCAATATTTTTATTTATTTAAACTTTTCAAATAAACCAATAGATTTTGTTTTCGAAATTTGGTATTGTAATAGTAGAAAAAAATTGTTGTTGTCCTTGTATGTACTTAGTCAAAAGCAAAAAAACATGCTCGTAGTTTAATTTCATCATTACAAGGTCTTTGTAATTTGATCATTGTATGAAACGAAACAAAAACGTATGAAGCAGTAAAACTAGTAATAAAATGGAACGAATCAAAAGTTTCTTAGGGTTAGTAGTTATTGTTATATGTCTTGTTTATCAATATGAAACAAAAGAAAATAAAATAAATAATGAAATAATATTAAAACGACTTCGTCGAATTATACGAGGTCATCTAGCAAAACCTGGACAAGTAAATTCAATAGATATTTTCAATCAATTATTAACATGATGTTTTTTATTTAGTTTCCATATCAAGTATCTATTAATAATAATGGAGATCATTTTTGTGGTGGAGCTTTAATTCATGAAAAATGGATATTAAGTGCAGCACATTGTCTTAAATAGTAAATATTTTTGTTTTTGTTTTTTTCTTTGATAAACTTTGATTTATTTCATAAAAACAACATACATATTTAGTTTTAGATCAATTCAAAACTTTTATGCTGTTATGGGTGCTACATATTTAGATCGAGCTGATCCAAAATATGTACAAATTTCACGTATTGATGCATATTTTCAATTTCCACGATATGATCCTTGGTAATAATCAAATAAAAATTTCATTATAACACGAACATTTCTGTTTTTTTTTTCTTTCTTTCTTTCTTTTTAACATTTATTTTCTATGGTAACATTTAGGGGTGATCCAAAAGATGGTAATATAACTCGAAATGATCATGATTTAGTTCTATTAAAATTACAAGATCGTGCTCAATTAACTAATCGTGTTAGACTTATTCAATTACCTGATCCAAAGAATGAGAACATAACTTTTGAAAATATGCAACAATGTATTGTATCAGGTTTTGGTACTATTAAAGATACACGCCAAAGTTATATACTTAAATATCTAACAGTACCTATCGTTGGACGAGATCAATGGTATTTTTTAATTTCAATGTTTAGTTTTTTTTTTTGTTGTAATTCTAATTTTATCATTGAATATTTTCTTTAGTGCAAGAGGTCATCGACCAAGACGTATAAAAGACTTTCATATATGTGCTGGTTATTGGCATGGTGGTAGTGATGCTTGTAATGGAGATTCAGGTGGTCCGTTAGTATGTTATTCGAATCAAGGTCCTAGATTAATAGGTATTGTATCATGGGGAGTAGAATGTGCTCGTCATGGTACCTATGGAGTTTATACACGTGTATCACGTTATCTTAGATGGATTAACCAAACCATAGAACGATATAGTTGAGAAATAAAATAAAAACAAATAATTATTGACTAAAAAAAACAACACCTTAAAAAAATATTCGATCAGTGCATAAATTTTACACAAAATATTAAAAAACAACAAATGTATGTATTATAATCTATTTTTTTTGTCATGGAATAGAATGAATCACATAGATATTTATACATCCGTAGGTAATTTCCTTGGTTTACGTGAAAAATCTCTTGTATCATGATCTGATTGACAAAATCCTTTTGTTCTATTTGTTTGTTTTGATGGATTTAACGGTGTTGTTTGTTCGTTCCTTTTAGTAGATATTGGATGTTTATTTCTAAAATATCTTCCAATTATACATATAGTAACGACTATTACCATAAATATCAATGCCACACTACTAATTATAATCATTGCTTTTAAACGTTCATTTAAATATTGACTAAAGAGTTTTTTTAAATCATCTGTGTTATTTTGATATACATTTATATTATCATTATTTTTATCTAAAGAATTGTTTTCGAATAGATGAAAATTATTTGTCGTTAAATTTCGATGTGTTCTATTACGATAAGCAGCAAATCGAGAACCAGCACGACGTATTTGAACTAAATTATAAATTGTTCTTGATGAAACAATTGTTCGATTAGGATAAAAATTTTTAATATCCATCGATAGTGAACATATAAAGAATAAACATAGAAGAACTATGTTATAGAATTGCAACATGATACCTACAATAGAAGATAACCTTCTTTTTCTTTTTTCTTCTTTTACTGATACATAACACATGTATATTTGTCTCAAACAAACTAATACAACTTACCAGTACAAGAGACAGATTGCAAATGGCAAATCGATCTGTTTAAGTGTTTTATTATACGGTTATAAGTTGTCTTATTCGTTCGTCGTTATAGAAGAGCTATCAATATAGAAATAATGATTGAAGAGGAAGAAAAAAAACAGAAATTTCGAATAATAATTGATTATTCAAATATTTTGTAATTAGATCTTTACTTATAAGACTCAAATTTTTAGTGATTAAATATGAAAAAAAAATGAAATATATCAATATATATAACAATTTTTTCAACCGAATAACCTGTCTGAATTGCAATAATATTTTCTCAATTATTTGAAAAGCATGATACTATTATCGATTTCAAAAGAAAAGAAAAAACTATTCGTATTTTTCGAAGAACGCTTCATAGGAATCAGATAGAAAGTTGCTATTTTCACCATTCGATAGAGGAGATGATGATGCATCAATTTGTATATTACTGATGCTTTTGCCAAGCTTTTTTGGAGAGTTTCTAATCTAGCTTTTGAGAAACCGATGTGTTACGTTTAGTCATCATAATAAATTTTCGATTTTCAGGAGTGCATTAAAACCATCAATCGAAGATCTATCAAACTGCACGTGCTCTAGATTGCTTACTTGAGCTATTAGCAATTTATTTATGAGCTGCTAAAAGAAAAGTTGACTTCTTTTTAGCATATTTTTATAAAAATTTGTTCTGTGAAGTCATCCGAGGAGCTAGATCTTTTTGAAGAAATTTATTAGAACTTCCTCTGACAAACCTGAAAGAAAAATCTGTAATACATGATTTCATGCATCTTTATCACCTCTTATTAATGATAAAAACCACAACTCTCTATCTCATTCTTATCAGTAGTTATTCAAAAAATACTCACGTTTCTTTTGTTTTTTTGAAATCTACAATCGTATAAATTTAATGTCCAAATCTCATAAAAAAAACACTATATAATCATTAATAATTATTTGATCTATATACGAAAATATTTATTAAAACATAATATCCGATTAAATTTCAATATTCAACACTTATCATTCTTTTTCAAAAGTAAACATATACCCATACATAGTCGTAGACATTTTCTTTCAATTATTAATTTTTTCCTCTACCTTTCGATCATTTTTCTTTTTCTTCTTTCTTTTTTTCGTTTACCTTACTTAATCGTATCGAACCTTCTTGTCAATACAAAAGTTGCCTATTTTGTTTTTCTATAGTTGATTATAGTATACAAAAAAAAAAAAAAAATAGAACGACATTTAATATTGTTATAAAAGCTATTGTTATCTTCCATTATGTTAATCCTTGTTGAGTTTGAATTGATACAAAGAGCAATATATAATGAAACAAAACACAATGCTATTCTTTTTTTTATCATATATCAATTTCTTTTTTTGTATGAATGCAAAGGGCAAAATTACTAGTCAATCAATGTTAAGGATTCGTAAGAATTAAATAAATTAATCATTCTAATGGATAGATCATTATAAATCGAACCTATTCATTCTCATTCGTATATCAAAAGATGAAGAATTTTAAACTTTACATAATTGTATACTTCACTTTTACAAAGAACATTATTTTTATTTTCGAGGTAATCAACACACTGAGGTATACTTGTATGGTAGATTCTCGTTTCGTCGAAACGCTAATTGATTTTCCTGTTTCGTCGAAAAATTTGATACACCCTTTTTTCATCATTCCCGTTTCGTCGAAAATGCAAAAACGACTGTTCTCGTTTCGTCGAAAAATTAAATTGTAATGAAAAGAGTATAATCAAAGCGATAAGCTCAATATCTATGATTGACTTGAACTATTTTCTTAAAAAGAAACTAATCGATATCCCTATACTATTAATCTGAAATTTTGTAAAAGTGTATATATGTGGAGTAAAAGGGACAATTCATTTTTTTGCTATATTCATTATTAAACAAAAAGATGCTATCTATTGTTGAAAGTAAACGTAAGAAACCAACTTTATTACTTGATGCTTTTCGCTACACATAGGACAAAATTTTTAACACAACTATTTATTGGAAATTCTATGTTCATATTTTCTCTTAATAATTTCTTATTTATGTATCCAAATCTGCTCTATAAGAAAAATTTTTTGACAAATGTATCTACAAGTAAATAGGCGCTATTCCTGATTGATATGACGAAGAAATCTTATCAAAGGATATAATCTATTCTTCATTGATTAGTTAGAATTTATCTTTTCGACGAAACGGGAACAGTCGTTTTTTTCATTTTCGACGAAACGGGAATGGGTGAAAAATTTATTTTCGACGAAACGAGAAAATCAATTAACTTTTCGACGAAACGAGAACTAACCACTTGTATCAGTCACACAACTTTGTAGAGCATGAAATTCTGTATTTTTTTTTTGAATAAGGACTTGGCAATCGAACTTTATTATTTAAAAATTCCTCTCAAAAAATCATCCTGAAGGATATTTTCAATTACTTACTAAACCTTGGATATCTAAAAATGAATCAATATCTGAATGAATATTTTCTATGAATTTCAATAAGAAGAAAATTATATTTACATTTAGTCTAATTGGTTATGACTCACCCGTTAATTTTGTTTTCTGTTATGGAAACAAAAAATTTCTATTTCATAGGTTTTTTATTTCTTTTTCTTTTATTTTTGTTGTCTTCTTCAGTGAAAAAAAACAATAAAAAAAATTGACAGAAAACAACTGTTATACGTTTTGAAATGTTGCTCGTTGATAATGACAAAGATTAAATAATTACTTTGAGTTTGATACTTCGTCAAAATTTTCAACAAGATCTTTTTGAATAAAAAAAAAAGAAAAAAATAATAGAATAAAATAAATTATATCTTAATATAGATATATACCGGGTACTTCTTCATCATCTGCATCAGCACCTGTTTGTTCATTTGTTGTACCAGTTTGTTCATTACCTGATTGTTGATCAGTACGTGTAGGAAATTTACGTCGACCTGCTTCACTAGCTAGAACACTATCAGTTGACATACCCATTTGTGACATTATTGTTGGTAACATTTCTTGTAAAGCTAATATAAACAAAACATAATGATTAACAAAAACAAAACTATTCACTTAGATTTACATTTTGTATCCGAATGTCCACTAATAGCAAATGTATTTGAACTAAGTGATGCTTGTACTTTAGGATTTGAAAAATGAATAACTTCACCATTATCTTTAAACATATTAACCTATTTTAAAGAAATTCTAGAAAAAAATTTTCATTTCTTAAATATATTTAACCTCTTCAATTCCTTGAATATTATTAGCAGCAAGTTTTTTTAATGAACTTTGTAATTTTTTATCGTCAGCATTAGCTGGACGATGAATAATTTTCTTTTTACGACGAGCTGTACCCTTAAAACAAAATAAATCTAATTAGAAATAAATTTAGCAAAAATAATCAACGAACTTTGCCACCAATTTTGACTGCATTTGCCTGTTCAGCAAGTTCTTTCAATTTTTTTTGATTAAGTTGAAAACCTGTCGTCACATCAGTTGCTGCTGTCGTTGTTGTTGGTGTTGTCTTCTGATCAGAGGACATTTTTTTTCTTTGATCTTCTTTATTATTATTACTTTTTTTTTCTGAAATATAACCATATATTAAATGGTTGATTATTATTTATCCCAAGATGAATGAGAAAAAAAAACAGAATGAAATAATACAGAGAAAAAAAAGACATGATGAGATATGAAAAGAGATGAATTTAAGAAAGAAGCAGAAAAACATATTGCAAGAAAAAAAAATCAAATAGACAAAACACTGTTGTCAAATATAGTGTATGATAATAATTCAACTACTAAAGTTTGTAATAGCAAAAAAAAAATCGCACACGCGCAATAAAGACTGAACAAAAAAAAAGGGAATTTCAAACAAATATAGTGTTTAGATGAAAGCGCGAGGCAGGAATGGAGCAGCAGGAGCAAAACGAAAGAATAAATATTCAAAAAAAAAAAAAAAAAAAGGAAATTTCAATTATCTGACGCCTGCTGCGTTCTGAAATTTTCTTTTATTTAACATTGAGATAGTATCTATATATATGTATAGTAAGAAAGAAAAAAAAAACAAAAGAATCGCTAAGTTCTTCGAGGTGTAGTAGATGTTATTTGTAAAGCACGTTTAGCTTTACGTTTAAAAAAACAACATGTTGGTTCTGATGGTGGACCAATTATAGATGAATGTTGTTCTTTACTAATATGTATATTATTAGAATTATTTACATTAGCTGATTGTTGCTGTTGATGTGTATGATTATAAGAATAATAAGGTAATGGTGGTGGTGGTGGTATTAAACCACGACGTTTAGTTGGTGGTGGTCCTGGTCGATGATTTTCAATAGCTGTACGTGATGATGATGATGATGGTAATGTAAGTTGAACTTTACTTGTACTTGCCATTGATAAAGTTGTTTTTGAACCTCCATTTAATGTTGCTGTTGTTGGATTTGTTGAACGATTTGTTGAACTTAATGGTAATTGACGTTGATGATATGTATTACGTTGAATTGTTGAACGATTACGAGATTCATTAGTAGTAATAGTATTATTATTATTATTATTATTATTATTACGAATTGTTGGTGTTTGTACAATTGATGATGATGGATTTGTTACTGTCGGTATATTTTTATTTGTATTAACATTATTTATACCAGTTGATAATGTTGTTGGAACATTAGCTAGTGTCATACCAGCTACTGTTGCATTTGTTACTGTTGTTGCTGTTGCTGCTGTTTTACTACGATTTAATCGATGTTCTTGTAAACGTTTAACCCAATCGAAATCATTATCATTAATAAGATTATTTTCACTAAGTGCATTATGAAATAATCGTCGTAAACCATCATACTAGAATTGATTTTGTTTTTGTTTTTTTTTAAGAAAACAAAAAAAATCAAACAACATACATCAGGTTCTTGAGCAAATTCCATTTGACGTACAGTTCGCATATAGATTAAGAATTGACGAGGATAACTTTCACATAACATTTCATTCGTTGTAAAGCGTTTTGTATCACCAATTTTTTGATAACGTTCTTTTAATGTATCTGCTTTTAAACCTTGCCACTAAAATAGAAATAATCAAAAATATGATTATTAATTAAATTCATTCGACCATTGTTGACAAACAAATTAGAAAAAAATCATGCTGTTTTCAACTAAAAGTTTTTTTAATAACTAAAAACCAAGGATAACCGATTATAAAAATAAAAATTCATATAACATAAAATACAAAAAAGAAAACTTAATTATCATACCGGTAGACTACCCCGTAGAAAATACATAAACATATAACCCAATGCTTCTAAATCATCTCGACGACTTTGTTCTCGACCTAAACAAAAAAAAAAAGAAATGATTATTTAAATATAAATATTTTGTTTTTGATAAAATAAAACATACCAAGATGTGTATTAATCGACATATATCGAGCAGTACCTAAATATATAAAATTTTTTGTTTTGGTGTTTGTTTTTTTCTTCTTCTTCCTCTTACCAGTTAAACTTTTATGTTCACGATATGGTATATGGGTTCCATCAGTTGTTCGATATTCTTTTGCTAAACCAAAATCAACAATATGTATAATATGTTGACGATTTGTACTACCACGTCCAATTAAAAAATTCTCTGGCTTAACACTATAAAATATAAATATTAATGAAAATAAGTTTAAAGTTAATCCTTTTTTTCTTTACTCTCGATAAATAAGATTTTTTGCATGAACATATTCAACTCTATCTAATAATTGTAAAGCAATCATTAAAACTGTTTTTAACGAAAAACGTCTTGAACATAAATCAAATAAATCTTCTAATGATGGTCCTAATAATTCCATAACAAGTGCATTACATGGACCAGCTTGACCATAAAAATGTACTTGTGGTATTCCATCATGTTTACCTAACATTGAATAAAATCGATATTCATGTGCTAATTGTGGTGTACGTGTTGATGTTTGTTCTAATTTAATTGCAACATGTTCATGTGTTTCTGTATTACGACCTAAATGAATTTCACCAAAATTGCCTGAACCTAATATACGACCTATTTGATAATGTGAACCAAGTGTTGTTGTTGTTGAACGTAATAAACGATTCGTTGTTGTTGAACGTGAATTAACACCTGTACCATTAGCAATACCACTCGGATTCGAATTCATTAGAGATAATAAAAAATGAAAAGTTTTTCGAGGAATACAAAAAAAAGGGAGAAGAAGAATAACGACAATGAAGGAGAAAAATTTAATATAATAAGTTTATTGTATCACTTCTTTTCTTCATTCGATCGATGCCATAGAATCTAAATAAGAAGAGAAAAAAAAACGAACGAATGACTACTTGTTCATCGTGTGATTCTCCTTGTTAAATATTCAAACATACGTACACACACGCACACGTTCAATATTACATAAAAGAAGGGAGAATACGAATGTTCTCTTTCTCTCATCTATATAGGCTGCTGCGTCCTTTTTTTTTCTTCGTTTTTTTTTTT